TGTAAACTCAACCAATCATATTGAAGAACGGCAACCCAAAAAAACCAACAAATACCCTTGCCGAGTTACACATAGTTCATTGCCAATTCTCAACTGCTCTCGATATGAATAGATATATCTGCTATGCAGCTATGGAGCTATTCCTCATTGTGGATTTGAATTAAAGCAGGCATAAACGGCAAGATCTATTGGTATAAATAAATTTCGCGACAGCTTCTCAGCTGCAAGATATCTTGCCGCTGCATATACATATCCTTATTAAGGATCCTTCGAAGATCACGAGACCTCTCGTGACACAGAACAGATGGGAATTTCACGGAATTAATGGCATAAGAGCAAGGAACGTGGTTCGGTTAAAAAAAATAATCGATAAAGGACAGTGCGTTAAGTCAACGTATGGGAAGTAGTGGGTGAGGGATGTTAATGATGAACACCTGGGAATTAAATTAAATGACCAATTACCAGGGTAATTGGAAGTTGACCACATGGTCAAGCTGCTTGTGTAGGTCGAGTCTCTCCCATCGTATGTAGGCAGCTTCCAAATAACGCAGGGTTCGTTTTGTTCGGCCCGAAAAAGTACTCAAAACGTTGTTTTGATGTCGACAGAATGACCGCTGTCTAGATTCAATATATCCTGCCGTTCATGCCCGCTTTAAATTTTTATCGGGGAACAAATGCTTCGAATTTGTATCAGTTAAATTCATCTGCTGCATTCCGCATAAGTTGCGGCATTCGCAGTTATTTTTGCTAACAATCCTGCTGATAAATTGAATTGTCATTTTTCAAATTTAGCCTTAAAGCTATAAGCCCCTCGTGACATGTTTTTTCTTTTCTCAGGCATGGGCGAATTCACAAGGCGCGTTCTAAGCTATCCAATAATCAGTGGCCCTATAAGCTTGTTTGCCAGCGCTGTAGAGTGGTTGCTTGGGCCTGATCGATATAACAGATGGTTTCATTTTGGCCAACAAGCAGTCACTCTCGTGAAGGACCAGACCGTGGCAGTTACAGGCTCCGGTGAGTTTATAGTCGTCTTTTTCAGCAGCTGCTATATTATTATTGATACATAAAATAGACTACAACTGTCAGTCAGGGTGTACCCTGTACACTTAAGAATACTTTCGTGATTACTAGTTACGTCACTCAATCTAGTTTTGTTCCCTTAACGTGAAAGTTCACGTTTCAGGCTTTTACGGCTTTTTTTCTCACAACGTGCAACACCGAAACAATGGCTAGTTTATATATTTAAGGTAATTAAAGGTTTGAGAGGCATTTTCACGTGTGCTCACCACTGCATGATGCAAGAGTGAAACGCTAATCGCAGTTTTTCTCGCAATTTTATTATAAGATAGGTACTTGCAGGAGCGCTTCCATGTTTTTTTTGTCATCACTTCAGTATGTTCCAAAGGACTGTAGATAAAGATATCGAAACCTCACTCAACACAAAAGCTCGTTCATGTCTCCTTCGGCCTGGGATCCGGTGGTACCGGACCGTGGCAAGAAAATAGCGAAGAGGGGACCCCTAATTTTGCGTCACCGACTAGAATTCAGCTATTTGGAAGCGTTTAGTGTTAACTAATATGGATGAGATTTCTATGTTTTATTTTAAAAAATTTACGAAAGTTCGTAATTTTTTTGGTGGGGATGAGATATGAAAGTGGGAGGCCTAAAAGCAAAGCTGCTCTCTATTTTTCGCGACGATATCTGGACAACTTAGAGGTGGCTCACCAGGGTAAAGTTTCTATGGATGATTTACTTCCAAAACGAAGTCCAGAAATTTTTTTTAGAAACTGACCTTCAAAGTTTAGGTGGACAGCCGGTCGATCGTATTATCACTTTCGATAGTCAACGATCTAGAAAGCTCGATGGTCCGTTTCTTAATTTGATAAGGTTTGCTGATGTCCATATACATTTTGGTATCCTTCTAAACTGTCATTTTCTTACTAGCTAACAAAAGCTTCACGTTTGACTTGCGCATTCGTGGCCACTGTTTCAAAGCAAAACAAGGAATCTTTACAGTAATATGCCTTTACGAGAGCTAAAGTAATAGGATCCCATAGTAAAATTTAAAAAAGAATTTTTTGTCTTAAGCTACCGTAGATCGTCTTGACACTATCGCATGCCGACAAATTTTGGACCGTCTGGAATCGTTAGTGCCTCAGGTGGCCCAATCACCCGAAGAAATTTTTACACCACTCGCTGATCGAGCCATAAGTCTGGCTGAAACTTTTTTGGCATACTTTGTTGATTCGTCAGAACCGGTAAGTCTCTCCTGCACTGGACAAAATCACGGTGTTACGTACGACATTTTGCTTCTTTTCCATCCGTAAAGGCTGTTGGCGAGTTAATTTAACCACCTTCTTTGTATTTATTTGCCAACAGACCTTTTCGAAAAGTAATAACCTGCTCTAGGGACCTTTGGCAGCGCCATTAATTGTTTTAGTGTTGACTTTTGGAAACCCTAATTTTGCTGCATGCCATTATTTTCACATTTCTAGTAACCTTAAAGAG